CAGCTCATGACAGCTGGGCTGAGACCAGAGCCAGGACTGACTCCGAATCCAGTGCTCGTTCTAGTACCCTAGGCTGACCTCCAAGAGTTGGACTTGGGAGAGGGCAGCCCCTTGGGGGTGAGGTACGAGCTCATTGCCCGACAAAACCCAATGAATGACTCGAGTGGGCCGGCAGATCGTTTCCTTTACCTGAGCCATTGTGTCCTTTGGTCCCCAAGATGGCCTTGTGTGGTAGCCAATCCCTGTTGTCCGTGTGTGGGTGGACTATTGAGCTGATGAAGTATAAGTCACTGATGGGAGAGATTACAGACCCTCACCCCAAAGCCTTGGTTTTAAGACAAGAATTCCCCACCGCCCATCCTTTTCTTTGTGTACAGGAAATAATAGTAATTACCAAAATTAGCAAATTAACAGAACTTCCTGTTTGAGGTTTCTCTAGGGGAAGATTTGTCAAGAAAAGTGTGCACTGAGAGGTGATTTGTTAGGCACCGTGCTAGGTGCTGGGGCTATTGGAGCAAACAGAAGAGATCGAGTTCCTGTTCTCAGGGAGCTTGTAGTCTAGCAGGAGAGCCAGTCAATGGACAATTATATTATGTATTGTCTTAATTTCCTAGCGCTGTAGTATAAAAATACCTCCAAGTAGGTGGCCTTAAAGAACAGAAATGTATTGTCTCACAGTTCCTGGGGGCTGGCAGTCCAAATCAGGGTCTTAGCTGTGTCAATCCTCCTGAGGCTCTGAGAGAGGAACTGCCCCAGGCCTCTCTCCCAGCTCCTTGTGGCAGCCGGAGCCCTTGGCGTTCCTTTGCTGCTTGTCGATTCCTCTTCACATGGCCCCGTCTCCCTGTGTGACTCTGTCTCCATGTATGCTCTCCCTTTTTATGTGACACTTGTTGTCACCGGGTGCCATTGAGTCCAATCCGACCCATAGCGATGCCATGTGACAGAGTAGAACTTCCCCATAGGGTTTTCTTGGCTATAATCTTTACAGAAGCAGATCGCCAAGTCTTTTCTCCCACAGAGCTGCTGGATGGGTTCAGACTGCCCACCTTTCAGTCAGTAGCTGAGTGTTTAACTGTTGTGCCACGGGGCTCCTGTATATGACACTAATCACAAAGAATTGGACCCACCCTGTTTCAGTATGACCTCATTAACTTAACTGATTATAACTTCAAAGACAGACCCTATTTCTTCAAACAAGGTCACGCTCACAGGTACAGGGGTTAGGACTTCAAAGTATCTTTTTGGGGAACAGAGTTTGATCTATAACACGTATCATATGTCAAAGAGTGATAGGTGTTGTGAACAAATCAAGCAGCTGATGGGGTA